TAGAAAAGTTGTTTTGTTTTGTTCACACTGTTAGAAAAGTCGTGCAAAGTGAACACGAATCGTTAGCTAAAGCGTTATCTTATGGCCAACCTTCTAACATCGCGTTAGCAATTTATATGAAATGTCAAGAACTTCGAACTCCTGTTATTAAAAAATTCCTCTAGCTTGTCTCAAAAGAAATTACTGGGCTATGCTCTAGAGCGCCAATATTTTATTCTTTTGAAGGATTTCCCATATCCAGTAGGCAGATTTTCAAAGAAATCTTGTTTTTCTTGTAAAATCTTTCGTATAGTGTCTTTCTGGTGATCATAAACTGTTTGATGCGAAATTTCTTAGCTGCTATCTCGAAGCCTTTCTCTAACGACGCATCTTGTTTTCCATATGGCGCGAATGGTTCCTGGTTTTCGAGAACTAAGCCGTGATTGGTTAGTTCATAGGAAAGGAATGTTGTGCTCAGGTAAGCAGCCGCTAGTCAGGGAAGAAAGCGTTGCATGACGACACTGAAAGCGGCTGTGGGGGAGACTAGAAACTTTGCGGGTCAGTCTTTGGATCTCGTAGACCAAAATTTTGTGTAAATACTTACCACATCATGTTTAATAGTTTTACTCATAGTTTTTTTCATTTCTGTTTTTGTTTTTTGTACTGTGTTATGTTTGAACAGCACTACTCTAAGCCAATCAGAATTAAGTAATTTTTTTCATGTATGTTATTACTATAGCTATTGTTTCCAAGATTGTGCAGAAAATGACAAATAGTGCAATTCAGTGCGATTTTAGGTCAATATAGCGTAGAATTACACTAATAAACATTTTGGAAACCTTAAGTACATTAATGACTGTTAGACACATTATTTGTGTGACCCAGTTACGATGTAAATATTTAAATAAGCCTTGTAAGTTATACATATAGCCTTTGTATCGGCCCTCAATAATCGTGGCATTGGGATTCGGAGGGAGAGGGGGAGGGAAAGGGAGAGGGAAGGGCCTGCAAGAATCCCCCCATACAGTATCTGACTATTCTACAATCTCAATTTGGTCATAGAATTTAATTGGTTGTGCCGCTAGCCAGAGAATCAATCCTTGTACTATCATTTAAGGTAGTTCGGTGCTCACACTTCCCTTCGATAGAATTTTTAAAAACTTTTTCTACTTAAAGACTAACATATATAAAAGTCAAAAATGCAATAAAAAACAGGGGTCACCATGCTCATTTTGAAACTGTG